GTTATTATTATTAAATAATGGTAATGTTTTTATTTTCACATTATTTAACCTATTCTTCAATGACAACTTATTAGGCTTAGGCAATATATCATACATTTTGTCGTAAATATTGTTGACTGCCTATGTTCTATTATTGATTATACTACTTTTTTTTTAGCTGAAGTAATAAAAATATATAAAAATAATTAATTTCTCACTTGTTTTACAAATCCATATACTTTTATTAAAATCAACATATATATTTTTTAATTACGAATTTTTTTAAAAATTGTACTGTCAGTATACACAAATATCGTCCGTTAGTTCATAAATTCGTTGGCGCTGCTGTCACGCACAGAACGAATAATTAATGAAAATAGGCTGACTGGGCTTTACATCGAAAAATAATCGCCAAAAACTAAAATGAAATCATGTTTTCTGTTATCGAATATTTTTGTTAGAGGAAGAAGAAATTAAAAATTTGCGTTTTTCTAGTGTTCGTCGACGTGTTTGAGAGATTTTTTTATGTTTTTGTGTTTCTATAAATATTTATTTTTTTTTTATTATTATGTATGGTTCTGTCTTCTTGTTCATATTTTTCTTTTATATCACACCATTTATTTGTTTTTTTAAAATATGTGTATTTATTCTTTTTTTTTTTTATTTTAGTTTTTGTCTTTTTTGTTAAGTTATTTTATTTATTAGAAACTTTTGTTAATTTGTATTGCTCTTTTATTTTTCAGTTTCTTTGTTTTTCAACAAATAAACATTCTAAATTTTTTCAAAATTTTGCCCCTCCCTATAGAATTGGGTAACGACGCCCATGTTGATGGGAGAATGTTAAATATTGTTGTATTTTGTATTGTTGTTTCCATAAAAATTGTAATTTTTGTTTGTTTTTGAGGTGAAAATAAATAAGACAGATTTGTCAGACGTTTCTGTCAGTTTAATTTTTTAATACCTTTATATTATTTAACATCAGTCTGCATTTGATCAATTCCTAACTGTAATAGTTAGAAATTGTTAAACAGGTATCGTTATATTTATACGCATCTTTACACTAGTGACCGCGGTTTACCTTTTAAGACCACAGTACCACCCCCAATATTCGTAACATTAACTAATTTTGATAGATGTCATTTATGTGTCATAAATTAAGAATCCTTTTGTTCAGCAAATGGAGCAATATTCCATATTTAATAGTTCTTTTGTTCAACAGATGGCGTAATGATTTTATTAATTTTAAACGGTAACTGTTATAAAAACAAATTCATCACGCCTAGCTACTACGCGATAATAAGTATTAATCCTTCCTCCATGATAAGTAAACGAGTTCTTGACCTTGACAAATATTTTCGATGTAACAGGTATAAAAATAAAAGTTTGGGATTAAATTCGACACATCGGTATATTTACTTAGGACCGATTCCACCGTTGTGTTAACCGGAGTTTAAAATGATATTTTTACATTAACAATGTCATTTTAATTTAATCTCATTTATATGTAAGTTGGCGGCATCGGCATACGGAAAACGTTTTTAAGAATTTTAAGAAAAAAAACTTATTTTTCATAAACAATTGCATGGTTTATTAATTTTAGAAAAAAAGTTACTTTACATAAAAAGTTATGCATGGTCTAAAACCTAAAATTCAATCATCGATAACAAATTTTATCAGTCGTATACAGTGTTTGTCGAAAATAAAGGTATTTTATATTGAGCAAAATTATATTTTTTGACAATCCTTGTAAAACCGACTGATAAAATTTGATATCGGGTGGTTGCATTTTCTGTTAGACCATGTATACATTTTTTTAAAGAATTACTTTTTTTCGTAAAATGAATACCTAATAAAAAAGTTTTCTATTTGCTATCAACTTACATAGACATACTGTGTGTATGCAACTCATGACATATTGCTGAGCTAATGTTTTTGTAAGAAAAAAGAAATTAATCATAAAATTTTACTTCATTTGTAGAGTCGTAATTTATGTTTTCATATTTGTACTTTTTTTTATCAATTTAGAATTACAGTACTATTTTCAATTATTATTTTAGATTAATCAATAAGAAAAATAAGCATTTTTGAAATATTAATAACTAAATACAAATTAAACAACAAATGAATAAAATATCATTTAAAACACGTTGACTGCCGAAGCAAATGTTGTGGTCGGGTCTGCTGAGCCGAAGTAGTTTTTCTAAAAATTTAAGTCTGTTTTTACGTTTTAAGAGCAAAGTAGTTTAAGTAAATACTCAAGTAAACTACAATATCTAATAGAAGCGTTAATAAAATATATAAGCGCGGCGCGGGATTAAATTATTACATTGTTCAATATTTTAATTTGTGTTGTAGACACGTAAACAATTTCTAAATAAAACTTATATGAATTTCAAAAATAGGTATTTTAAAGATATTTTTAGATATATAGGGTTTTGCGTTTTTGTCTGACAAATAAAACGGTATATTTTTTAAGTAGAAAACCCTGTATTTTACTTCAGTTTTAGAATGCTTTAGTAATACTGTATTTAACCCTAGAATTTTATTAACAAATATTGCAGGATTGCCAATAAATTAATTTTTTTATGAAATTAGAGAATGATTCAGACCCCAAATTAAATTATCATTATTTAGGTACGTTCAAAATAATTTCAATTTTTTTTAAAATGTAGTAATAAGATACTAAGCTAACGAATAGTGATAGTAGAACTGGATTATTTTATACAGTGTGTTTTGAAAAACAAGTCTTAAATATGGCTAATTCCAAGTTAAATTTATTTAATTTTTTTCAAATGCCACACCCTGTATATTATTTAAGCATAAAATTCCTTATAAATTAACATATCCAATGATACCAATAAGTTAGTCAATAATAACACATATACAGGGTGTCCCATTAGTGCGTAATTGATCGATAGCAGTTTTATAATAGAAAATACGAAAAAAATTAATATAAAAGTTGTGTGACCATATTTAACAATTATTTATAAATATACAGGGTAATCCATAAACGATTGTCTGACCAAACCTATACATTTTTAAAGCAAAACACCCTGCAGGTAGTTATACATACATATTTGACTGTTTTCACATCGTCGAACAATAATTTCAATTTTATTCATTTGCTATGTTGTATATAGGGTGTGTCAAAATGGTCACGATTTTCTCAATTTTAGAATGGAACACCCTGTATGTTATGCCACCAATTAATATAATATTTCATTGAAAAAAATTTAAACATTTGTAACCTCGCGTGTTGACACACCCTATATATATAACATAGCAAATGAATGAAGTCAATTAAAATTATTTGACGACGTGAAAACAATCAAATATGTATAACTACCTGCAGGGTGTTTTGATTTAAAAATGTATAGGTTTGGTCAACATCTCGTTTATGGACCACCCTGTATATATAGGAATAATTTTTAAATATGGTCATACAACTTTTATATTAATTTTTTTCTTATTTCCAATAATAAAACAGCTATCGATCAATTACGCACTGATGGAACACTCTGTATATATGTTATTCTCTAACATGTTAGTATCGTTGGATATGCAAATTTATAAGGAATTGTATGCTAAAATATTATATCGGATGCTGCCTTTGAAAAAATAGAGTAATTTGACTTAAAAGCAACCATATTTAAGACACATGTATCAAAACACTCGCTATAAAAGAATCCAGCACTATCACTACTATTCGTTATCTTAATGTGCTATAGGTCAGTGTATTAAACAATTTTGAAATCAATGTAATCCTACCTAAATTATGATAATTTAATTTGGGGTCTGCATCATTCTCTAATTTTATAAAAATTTAATTGCTTGGCAGACCTGTAATATTTTTTTAAATTATTCTAGGGTTCAATACAGCATTACCAAACCATTCTAAAATTGAAATAAAATACATGTTCTATTTTAAAAATGGGCCAAGCAAAAATGTAACACCCTGTATATATCCAAAAATATTTTTAAAATATGTATTTTTTAAATCCATATAACTTTTCTTTGAAACATGTTTGCGTGTCTTTAACATAAATTAAAATATTGAACAATTACGCACTAATGGGACATACACACGGGTACATACACATAGCAGTCAACGTGTTAACTCAGAAATAAGATTCCTTATAAAGATAAAATAACATTCAGAAGAAGAAAGCAAAGACCGCCAATATTACGTGCGTATCATACAATGATGCCAGGTCATTCGAATTTAATTTACACCGGAATGCAATAAAGTTCCTTCCCTTTCCTGCATTTCACAATTGTATATTTCACCCACTTTAAAATCAAATTCGTCCTATAAAGAATTGTGAAATTATCGTATAAATCGATAATCTGGCAACGTGGTCACCACTTGTTCATACACAGGCAAAATCAATCGATAATTTGGAACCAAACGAGACAAATATATATGAAAATTACGAAACAATAAAAGACGGCATACAGCTGTATCACTGTTTCAAAAATTGGTACCTCTAAACAATCATTTACCTATTAAAACCATCTCTAAAACAGAGTAGCTATATTGTTTTTACGATATCTTAAAAATAGATGAACTACATGAACTATACACAATTACAGGAATTCATAGAAAATCTCTAATTTGACAAATAAATTTATCAAATATTTGTTAATCGTATTTCCAGTTAGATTTGAAAAATACGCAATAAAATTTAGAAATATTTTGGAGGGATACTTGGAAAAATATATAGAATGAAATCTCCTACTTTTTAGCCTCTGGTTTTAAAATCACTTTTTATGATTTTTTTTTTAAATTCAGTGTATAAACAGGACAAATAAAAAATAGGAGATTTTATTCTCCAAATCTTATACTTTAAGCTGGTAGAAGATTCATTTTAATACATTTAGCGGGATTTAAATGCAATCGGAAATGGTGAACCCTTGCTTCTTATATGAAAAATACAGTGATACTGCGGCCTTGGCTATTATTATAAACTTCTAAATGGTTACTGATTTTCAGTAAATAAGACATTTTCTTTTATTTACAGATATGAAGGATGCACGCAACTTTTAGCTTTTTCCGGTGTCTCAGCTCACGAAAAGGAATGTGTTTCAAATTATTATGCTTGTCCAATATGCTCAGTAGAGTTTACTTCATTTCTCTTGGTTCAACATTATAAAAGGGATCATTCTAGTGCAATTCTAGAGAAACCAGAAATAGTCTTCGCCAAAGAAAAAGAATGTGAAAATTATTATATGTACATAGAAAATAATTTTGTTTACATTTTATACATCAGATGTAATATAGCAGATCAGTGTTTTTATCTCAATGCTGCATGTCTAGGTTCTCCTGCAAGAGTGGAGAAAATCGAACAATGTGTCAAGTGTTACTTGGGTGATGTGAAAGATTGCGGTAAATTATTTTTACAAACGAAAAAACAAAACTGCACGCTCGTTGAGAATAATTCGGAATCTTTTAAAATTCCTTTTCCTAAAAATACGAATTCGGTCACAATGTGTTTTTATTTTGACAATTCTGCCGATTGTTATTTTAATTATATAAATAAAACAATCAGTTCTACAACAAGTACAAGTGAAACTGTTGGTTTGCTGGATAATGAACCTATATTAAGTTCGGAATATCAAAAAGAGCATATTGGTAATTTTTTAATTTTTTCTTGTACAAAAATTTATATAAAAAGAAAAGAAATTGCTTTTTGTAACATTTCTACTTCTAAACTGAAAGTAACCACCAAAGATATTATGGTGTTACCGAAAATTTGTCACTTTTGTGAAAATATTTTTCCAATTTCTAATTCCATTACATTATATAAGTCTCCAAAAAACAAGTTCTTTTGCCACATTTGTTATGCCTTGAACCCAACAAAATTAAATCATGCCGATTTGGAGGCGTCAATGTTTAATTCACTATGTTTTTACTGTAAATGGAACTGTGGTAGTTTTTTTCATGCTACAGATTTAAGAAACCACGAATATAGTTGCAAAGAAAATATTCAGGATCCACATTCATCCACATTAACATCAAAATATTTAAATGTTTACTCAAATAATAGAAACACTTATTCTATTTCAAGAACGAATGTATTTTCCTTTAAAGAACACGATTTTAAAAATGGAGAAAAAATATTTGTAATCATTCAAGATTATTTTAAATTTGTATTACATTCTAGTTATGGGGATGGCGTATATCAATTTTGGGTAACTCATGATTACCCCAAAGATACATATTATGTTTTGTTTAAAGTTATTTCTAATTGTTCTAATAATATTTCCTTTTTTTTTGAGAAATGTTTGATTAAAAATAGTAACTCATATTTTGCTGTTGTATTGAAGAAAAAAAATGTCAGTTTAACAGTTTATAATTATTTCGCTGATTGAGTTTATTTATATTTCTTTTGTAAAAAAATGTTTAGGGTACAACAAACATTGTTATTTTTGTAGTTATGTCTGACACGATACTGATAAGTTGATAACTTATTTATACTTTTTTTAAAACTTGTTTATTTTCTAATAGATTTCATATGGTACTCCCCAATTTTTACTTCATAAAAGTTTTGATTTATTATATTAACGTTGAAGATACGAGCCCCTTCCCATTTCAGTTGGCCCACCTATTAATATTTTCATTATATAACGACAATAAGAAAGTATTAAAGATTACATGCTTTTTTAAATCATAAATTAATTAACAATGCATTAATTTAGAATTTAGAACTAGAAAACATCAATTTTTTATTTATTTTTAAATTTATTAACACATGGAGCATTATTGCATTATAGCCCAAGAGCCCACTGCAAGTTTTTACCGTCATCTGATAACGTAATGAAATATGCCGTAAAAGCATGGAAAAATAGTGTACTTTACCAAATGGCACCTGTGCCAATCCCAATCCTGAGCACAGTGGCTTTAAAAAAAATTTTATATTAAAAAAATCACATAAGGAATGACCGCGCTAATTTTGTTTGCCCTTAAAGTTTTCCAGAAAATAACATTCAAATAATAATAATAGCCGTCCCTTTCCCCGGACAAGCTCAGCTTTTGGGGTTAAAATTCACTCGTAAGGGGGTGAATTAGGGAGAGTATTATTATTATTATTATTATTATTATTATTATATCGTTAAAGGGAAACATTTTCTTCCTCTCAACATCGCACAAAAACATCTATCCACGATTAGTAGGTAAAAATCATTAAAAATATGAATCAATTTTTGCTGATTTAAAAATTTATTTGTATGCCTATTGTTGTGATTCATTTTTACAGGTTGCCATAGAAACGACAAAAAACTATTATGATTATGGTTTAAAATAATTGTCTAACAAGAGTTTATAATTATTATTGACTATCTCTGCAAATGGTTTATACAATGCCATCCTTCTTCCTTTCACACATAAACATGGTTTAAAAGGTAGGTAAAACTATTAATAATTTAGGTTTAAAAGCTAGGTACACAATGAATTAAGATTGTAATTTTCAGGGAAAATACAATTGTCGCTGTCATGTGTTATGTGATTTATTGAATATAAAATAATTTTTTTAACCACTTTGCTCAGGATAGGGATTGGCACAGGTGCAATTTGGTAAAGTACAATGTTGTTACATGCCTTTGGAGCATATTTCATTTCGTTATCAGATGACGGTCGAAATTTGCAGTGGGCTCTCATACTATTATTTCAACTTGAATTCAATGCGTTAGAAAATAAACCAAAATCGAAGGTAGCTTTGAAAAAATAACAAAAAATAATGCAAATAACTGTCACAAGACAATTTAACCCACATACTTTGATTACTATACGGGGCAAGAGAGAGGTCCGACACGCCCAACATAGGGCGCGGCCATTTTGAACCCTATGACACAGTTTATAGCTAAAGAATCAGATCGCTCACTCTGCGTCGGCACTTTTTATCTCAATGTTCCAGTTTATACACTGCGCAACTCGGATAATACAATATATGACAACCGCCTATAATACAAGTATTACAAATTAAAAATTTAAAAAAACCGACTTCAAAAACGTGCGGATGCCACATCTTAATCAAATTTATATGGGACCACCCCTGAGGTACCCCCTTACTAACAAAAAAAGAATCGTATAAATCGGACAAGGTGGTAAAGCATTATCGCTAAACATACATAAAAAATAAAGAGTTTGAAGATTTTCTCATGGATCCAATTATTAGATTTTGACAAAATTTATATGGGACCACCCCTATAGTAGCCCCTTTCTAACAAAAAAAGAATTATTGAAATCGGACACCGTGTTAAAAAAATATCGCTGAACATACATAAAAAATGAAGAGTTTGAGAATTTTCTCATGGACCCAATTATTAGATTTTGACTAAATTTATATGGGACCACCCCTGAACTACCCCCTTTCTAACAAAAAAAGAATCATTGAAATCGGACACCGTGTTAAAGAATAATCGCTGAACATACATAAAAAAAAAAATATCGCGACGAATTGATAACCTCCTCCTTTTTTGAAGTCGGTTAAAAACAGCAGTCTTCTGCGTATCCTGAATTTGTATCCCTGGAGTGGATGTTATTTTGGAACTTTCAACTGGTCCGAGTGAGCTAACTGATTCTTTAGCAATAAACTGTGACTCCAAAAATAATATTCACTGACACTGACAGCAGCAAGCAAAATATCAGGTGCGTTTTAATCATCCGCTTCTGTTTCCGGAATTGTCGATTCAGTCGTTCTAACCAGTCAGATTAAAACAAGAAAACCGACAATTCCGAAGCAGAAGCGGATGATTAAAACGCACCTTTAAAAATATTGCGCCAAGATGTAGGCAACACGTAATAAGGGTTCAAAATGGCGGAGTTTTCTATCTCCTTTTAAAAGGCACTCAGAAAGCTGCGCAGTGCGACCATTCTCCGTATAGTAAAAGAAAATCAAAGTATGTGATTTAACCTCTTTTAAGCTAATTCTCAGAGATAAGGGAGATAAAGATAGGAAACGCCCATAAGAAGCCAATGCTAAACAACGACCAGCTTTATCGCAGTTAACATCTGACCCACTATGTGGCGCTTTCATCGATATCAAACAACACAGCGGGAAATTCAAAAACCTGATAATAAAGGTTGCATAAATATCGATTGCACTCTCATGTTCTTGTAAATAAACTTAAACAATGTAATTACATTAAATTATTTATTAAAAAGAATGCTACACTTACAGTCTATTATCGATTAATTATTGTAAATCTATATTCATGACAAATATTTTTAAATTTTTGATTGTTATTTGTAACACTGCATTTTTGTTCTTATTTTGGTATCTTATTTATAAAGGTTGAGTGCAAATTCAATAATGGGAATTCAGATATTTTTCTTCCTATATCAAATCTTTCTAACGTTATCAAGCCACATTGGGGTTGTTAAATTTGTTCATGTGGCATGTGTTACTAATGCAATACGTTCTCCGACTTATTGTAATATTACAAAATATAATTACTGTCCTTAAAGTTCACATAAAAACAGCCACAACTATTTCGCTTAGTTCATCTAGAGGATAACACAATCATGAACTCAAAATTTTAAATTTAAATTCAGGATTCTTCGATATACATAAAACTGACATTTATTTTTACAAAATGTCCACTGTTGTCCACGTCTATTGTCTGTCTCAGTGTTGCCAACCGTACGATTTAAATCGTATTTACGATTTTTTAACTCTATGTACTGTCTCTGTACAATGGCGATGTACGATTGCATCAGTGAGATCGTATGTAAAAATACGATCTTCACTTTTTTAGTAGGTTTATTTAAATATCTGTAACAACTTCAGAACATAAAACAATAAAAATCAAAATTTACTTGCAAAGATTCATAGGCCGTTCGTAATTTCTTATCGAGATTTTGACCATGGTAATTTTGTACACCGACTATCACGGCATAAGAAAAGCTTGCATTCAAAATTTTAATCAGTTTCAAGTGATTGTCATTGATTACTTATGTTAATTTAAAGTTTCATGTATTTTCTTTAGTTTTTTTTTGCGTTGTAAACATAAATAAATTATTATGCTAGTTTTTTTTTTATTTTTTCATTCCATTTAAATTATATTATGCTATGCATGTATTTAATGTACAATTTTTTTGTCGAAATACTATTTTTCTACTCGTACGATCTCTCAAAAAAAATATTTGACAACACTGGTCTCTCTACAAATGACGTAGATCTGTAGTTAACATCTGATATGCTAGATGGCGCCATCGTTGCTGGGGTCGTTACATTTCCAATCTTTATGTCCCTAATCTCTGCTAATTCTGTCTAATAAAATGGGTAGAGGAAAAATCATTGACGAAAAAATACGTTTTCTTGTTATAAAACATTGCAATTCTAGAAAATCGAACTCGGAAATTGCAAATATATTAGATTTATCACGATATAGTGTAAGAAATATAGTTAGAAGATACAAAACTACTGGTTCAATCAGCCCAAAGCCCCGTCATGTTAGAAAAAGCAAGATTACAAATGCCGATAGACGAGCATTGAGAAGAATTATTGAAACTAACCGTCGTGCTAATTACCTTGAATTAGGTGCTCAGTGGAGTGATGCTGTTGGAAGACGAATTTCGAGATCTTCATGTCATAGAGAAGCTCGCAAATTGGGATTTGGGACCTACAAAGTAAGTTTATAATAATAAAAACAATAAAAAACATGGATTGAAGACACTAAAACAATCAAATATGTTTGCTTAAAATTGACAATTTTGTTACAGGTTAAAGAAAAACCACTACTAACTGTGAAACAGAAAAAAATCGATTAAGATGGTCAAAAGAACATATGAGTTGGACTTCTCATCAATGGGATGCAATACAATGGAGTGACGAGACCCGATTCGAAGTTTGTGTTGGAGATAGCAGAAGTCGAGTTATTCGCAAAAAACATGAAGCGTTCTATCCAGACTGTCTCAAAAGAAAAGTAAAATTTCCCGCATCGGTCATGGTCTGGGGCAGCATGTCATCTAAAGGAATAGGGAAATTGCATTTTATTGAAGGAATTGTAAATACAAATAAAAATTTGGACATTTTGGAGGAATCACTTTTACCGACTATGGAATTATATTTGACATCAGGGAAAGATTTTGTATTTCAACAGGATGGAGCAGGGTGTCACACGTCAAAAAAAGCTCTAAAATGGATGGAAGACTTCGGTGTTCCACTTTTGGAATGGGTTTCTAGTAGTCCTGATTTATCACCAATAGAAACATTGTGGCATGAGATGAAAAAGGTACTTCGAAAACATCCTGCAAGAACAATACCTGAACTTAAACAAAAACTTCAAGATATATGGGATTCATTTACACCAGAATTTTGCCAAGGCTTAGTTAATAACATGCCGCAAAGAATTTCAGCTGTAATAAAAAATAAAGGTGACGTTACTCAATGGTAAACTTTAAAATTGATTAACGTTTGATTCCAACTAATTGTTTATTTTTTTTTAAATTTTATATTAAATAAATATTTTAATGTTTTCTACATATTTTTTATGATTAAACGATATTAAATATATTTTTCAATGAATAAAAATTGGAAAGTTCATGCAATATTTATATTTTTAATCTTTAAATACGAATTTCCTAAATTTCAATAGGTGGGCCAACTGAAATGGGAAGGGGCTCGTATATTTATTTTAACACCAAAACATTATTGAGTTATGAGTGAATATTATTCAAATAAATGTTCAATTATGAATACAACAAAATTAGAACTTGTGTTTTATTTACCATATCCATACAGAAATTAATAATAGTCATACAGTCCAATTTTTTGAAGTTGATACTCAGATATATTACGACTTCAAATTCTGTTAATTTTAGATTGCACCATCTAAATGAAGATTTAAAATCAATTTTCAAATACTAGAACATAGATGGAACAAATATGCCAATCTTCCCACATAACATCAATGTTCTATGAACATACTAAGAACGTTCTTTTTATTATGTCCTTTCTAGAATGTTCTTAGAACATACCTAGTATATACTGACTACGTAAGTATATTCCAAAAAGTATATACTGAGCACGTGCTAGAACAGTACATTCTTAAAGGATACTAAAAATCATATACCTCATATTCTGAGAATGTTCTAAATGCTTGCAAGTAAAAATTAATACAAAATACATGTAAAAACATGTTTATATACATATCTATATGAATTTTTCCCAGATACCGATCTGATAATTCTTTAGAAATGCACTAATGTTGAGTGTTTGGGTCAAAAAACATTCACAACCTTAATAGAAGAGAAGAAGAAGAATAATAACATAACCTACAATTCCTACATAAATTTTTTTGATCTCGTCTCAGTTTGTCAGTAAATTAATAAAAATCTGATGTGTCCAAGACATGACTTTCCTATCTAGTTATTATAGGCTTTTTCCGGTTATTTTTTACAACCTATTGCAGCAACTCTATAAATGTTTAGAGGATAAACTAAATATATACATTTTCCACATACATCTACCTCGAAATATTTTTCTATAGATATTCATTGAAAACGAAAATACTGAAAAATTTTAATTTGGCACTTTTCCTACAATTTTTCCATTACGGTCCATTTTAGAAAAATCATGTATAAACAAAAATTATAGAGATCGATATCGCAAACAACTTTTAGTTCAATAATTTTCATAAAAATCGGAATTTTGCACATTTTGTTAAATTTCTCGAATACGGACCATTTCAGGAAATTTTGACATAAAGCAAAAGTTATAGATAATAATATTAGAAGTAACTTTTATTTGAATAATTCCATAAAATATAAAAACGGCCTCCCATAAAGTACCCCCCCAGATGTTCCGACTTTGTCCAAATCCAATCATTTTACGTCAGGCCGAAATAAAACTAAAGTTTAAAATTTAATGTTTTTTCCTTTATCCGTTTTTGAGTTTTCTTCAAATTTCGAAATTTATACATTTTCTCAAATATCTGGAATACGGTCCATTTTAGAGAAATTATGTATAGGATAAAAATTATAGAGAATTATATTACAAACAACTTTTGTTTGAACAATTTTTATAAAAAAATATTTTTTTACATTTTGTCAAATTTCTCGAATACGGACCATTTTAGGAAAATTTTGTAAAGAACAAAAATTTTAGATAATATAAGAAGTAACTTTATTTAAAGAATTTTCTTCGAAATATAAATAACAGATATATTCCATAAAATATAAAAATGACCACCTACTTATAAAGTATCCCCCAGATGTTCCGACTCTGCCCAAAATCTAATCAGCTCATTGGACGCAGGAACAAAGCTTAAGAGAAAAACGAAGGCCTAAACGAAAAAAAAATATTCTTCATAAAAGTTTCGCCTGTGTATTGACAAGGTAATAGTGCTTTCCTTATATTTTTTGCTATGAAATTAACAAAAATATAGCAATAAACAATTACTGATGTCATGGTTTTACAGGAAAGGAAGCAGTCTCTTGACTGTATGCGTCTCTCTCAGGGATGAAATGTATGCAATCTGTTTGACTCTCTTACATTATTTTATATAGGTATTATTGATTTATCCGCTATGAAGGCGAATAATGTTTTTATAGGGTGAATTACTTCATGATGTTTTTTTGAGGAAAATAAAGAAATAAAATATAAACTATTTATGGAAGGTATAAGCACAGTATATATAAGTATAGGTTATAAACAGTAAGGCTATTGCTTTGCAGAATACAATAAATTCCTAATAAAAAAAATCAATAATTAGAAGTATATAAAGCATTAATTAATAATATTAAAATATATAAGTACAGGACTCAAACTAATCAAAATCAGATTCACCACATTAATCTACATTTTCCAAAACATTAGCGGCTATGATCAAACTATTTCTGCAGTTTTTCTGTGCCATACAGGTGCATTAACCGATGTAGCCAATATGTTTTTCTGCATTTGCAAATTTTGCTTCCATAGTCTAGAATATAATAATGTTGAAATATTGTACATATATGAAAATTATCGGTGTATAGTACCTTTTTTTGCATGATACGTTCTGTTATTTCTGGTAGCAGGTCCAGCATAATCTTAAGAGTGGGCATCAGGCTTCAATCTTGATCTACTTTCAATTAATACTCTTCAACATTAGGACATCTGGGTCTTTAATAGCTTAGCCAAATACTTAGCTGGTAAAAACATCTTAAACAATGTAATCTTAGGGCGTTTTCAGTCAATGGCAATTTAGCAATTATTTTAAAGGGGCCATTAATCTCCTCAAAATGTTAATGGAAGTAACATTGGCAGTTTTTGAATACAGTTTTATGAACAATTTTTCAAGATTAGAGAATGTGTTTTCAGAGTACCTACGAATCAGTGCCAAATCCATCCAAAAGGTGATGGTGTTCAAGGTAGGTTTTCCAATAGGTTCTTTTTCCAATGCCAGACAATTGGTTGGATTTATTACGACCTGTCACAGAATGAAAAGAAGGCAAATTTTTTAGAAGTTTTTTTTTGTCCAAATTTAAATCATGTACTGTTATAAATCGTCACGAGTCTCCTCGCACTATTATGAACCACATCTTTTTAGTTCAAAACTACTTAAAATAAATTAATAAGACTAGAACATCTGGCTGATAATAAGTGCAATAAGATACGAGTATCAGATTATTCAAGATTTAAATTTAAAAAATCGTCTTTTGATGGTTCAAAATTCATCCCATATTTATTGATACTCGTGAATCCATCACTAGATACAAATTTTCAAGAAGTTGCGCTGACAGAAAATGTGTTAAACGTCTTTTATTAAATATTGAATGAATGAACAAGTTTCATTATTTTGGAAGTGGTATATTGGATCGGTCAATTTCTATATCAATTGATTTCTGGGATCATCTCTTTTGACGTGTTGTATTTTTGATAGAATTTTCTTTATAATGATTAAATATCACATCTATCCTTTGAGCATTAAATTTATTTTTAAAAATAATCTTTACAAATATATTAGAATGTTCTTTAAATGATATGCAACTTTCGGACTTTCCCAAACCTTGAGCTATTGCTATCCCATCAAAAATGTGACAAGTTTTACAAGATCACCTAGGTGCAGGTAAGTCTTTGTGGGTCATATTGCTCTAAAATATTTCCCAATAAACTCTTATTTGTAGAGGTGCCTAGATACCCATTTACTGTTAGAGACATGGGAGAGGCTGTCAGATCAAACATAAATATTTCGGCATAATTAACTAATGCTTCTGTCCCTATCCTTTGCTAATAAAATATTGTGAAGAAACTGTTGACCATGCAAGGATTAAGAAGTCATATTTTGATATCATTTGTGTCTTTGCTTCTTGCAACAACAAATCCGTAATTAAAATGTTTAACGAAAACTTACCCAACTTACCCAAATATATTCAGGCATTCAGCTATAACAGGATGAATGTAGATATAATAAAAACCTAAAAAATGTCTATATTTCTTCCCAATTTATTAGGAACTTTAATATGTAACACACTTAATAATTTTTTAGTAAAAACAGACAATATGACACTTTGTCCATTGGCACCTAACGAAAAGTTTTATAATAAAAAAATGAAAAAAATTTAAGCATATCAATAATGTGATGCATCAGCCGACACGTAGAGAGAAGCTATACTACGTTTTTCATTAGGGCCTTCCTTTTTGTTAAATGATAAAATTATATTTAAAAAAATGACTTTTTGAACAAATTTTTGAAGGGCTGATATTTTTTTTTAATAAGTATAAAAAATTACTCCTTATAAAGATTTTATTGTGCATTGGACCAAAAAATAAATATTTTTTTTTTATTCGGCGGTATCAGTATCTGGATTTTTGATGATAGTGCCCTTCTGCACAGTCTAATTTTGTGTTACCTCCGGAATAAGGGTTACCTTATCATGACCTTTTATCTCTGAAAAATTAAGCTTGTGACAAAGGGGGGTAAATAGTTTTCTAGAGCGAATATTTTAATACATACACTCTACTAATAATAATTGATTAAGAGTAGAAAAGCGTCCATAGTTTAGCAATACATTCCCTTCTATATCACATAATAATATGTCCTCGATACAAAAAGTCAAAGTAACAAAAACAGGAGGCCAATATAAACAAATAATAAACGATCTCATGACATTTTATATTTTTAAATAAACTAGGTTTTAAAAAAATATTTTCTATACCTGTTATTTAAGCGAATTTATAATATTTAAACTTGATATAATGTTTCAGCATATTATTATTATTCATATTTTAACAAAAATTATTTTTATTGTTTGAATAATCTGTTTTAATGAGGTACAGCTTCTAGAACAAATTCATAAAACACCCGTACTGTTAAACTCACCATTTATTTGGCATTCTGTCCCGTAATTCCATGTCTCTATTAGCTCTGCTGTCAACTAGTTCTGATAAGGCATATTGCATTTAATAATTTTGAATTTTATTTTGTACCTTTTCTTCCCAAAAGCTGTCATTATGAGGAATTTCCTCCACTTTTATTTCTCGAGAAGTCCAAACGCACAAAATTCAAAAATTCATTTGGGTAATGTGCAGCTAGCCCTGAATTTGAAAGTACCGATTGTGGTTCCCCTTAATGGTATTATCTTTTTTCCAGAAAGTAATTTTTCTACTGCATATTCCTTTTTCTTCAGTCAACACTCTCTAGCTTCATATGGACATTTTAACTCTATCATAGAGTTTTTTGTTTTAAATTCCATCTTGACTGGCAGGAACATAATCAAATT